AAATGGCTCCTGTAAACATACGCAAACATGACAGGCCCCACGGCGCCAAACCTTCGCTTAACATCTGCCCACCCTTCTTTCCTCTCATCCAAAATTAAGACCGCCCACAGAATACGAAGAATGGGTTCGCAACGTTTGGTCTCAGGGCGCTAGGTCGGCTCACGGCGGATGTCCACCACAAGCTTTGTAGCAAACAAAAATGCACCAAGCGTGCAAGGCCGCAATCAGACTGCCGAAAAAAGCAGCTGACCGAAAAAGGCAGCTGACCTTTTTTTTTTGGCACGAGTACGGACGCTGTGTGGGCGGTGTGCCCAGGTCATCATGAGAAGGATGGAAACTCTGCATATTGGAAAGGGGGCGACCCAACAGCAGAAAACAAACAAACCCAACAAAACCCAAAACCCAAAAACAACCCCACAAAAGAACCAGCACCAAACCCCAACAACCAATGTGGGCAGAGTTTCGACTGTACTAAGGTGAGACGTGTGAGACATGGGAGCATTGAACTAACTAGTTGGGCCTGAATTCACGAAAGTCTGCAACACACTGTATCAGGACTTAGCTGCGCGTCCTTGAAGGCCATTCACCAGAGGCCTTCGCGCACCGACAAGGGGGCGAGTCACCCTTGCCAGGTTGGGTTGCAGGGACTTGAGCCTTATTCGAGTGTACGATACATCAGCCGGTGCGAACTATCTGCAGCTCTTACGACCAAGGTTGATCGTCATCGGTCATTACTGGTTGCAATGCATTACAGGCCTTGGAAAACAGCCATCTTGCGGCACAGCCATGACAAACGATTGCACAAGCACAGACGACTGTGGCCAGTCTTGTGCACGAACGAAGTGGACAGTGCAATGTGCAAAAAGGATGGATAGAGCGGTCATCAAAAGTCTCAATCCACTGACATGCAAGGCCCGGGTGAAACAGGTGAAACCAAAATTTGTCCTAGCATGGTACCTTGTGCCATCTTTGTACAGGATTGGCTGAGTGCAGACTCCCACAGACGAAGAACTGAGGTTCTCACCTGGGTGCCAATCGTCTACTGTTCAACCGCCGCGTGCCAATCACCGGCCAAGAGCTGAGGCTCACAGCCAGGTCGGCTCACTTACAGCAGGATGTGGAGACGCAATTGGCAAGCAGATGATCCATACGAATCGGCCTGCAGAGGCAGGGCAGGCTCTTGCTTCACTGTCATCTTACAGTGGCATGTTGCAGGCGAGCTGGGGAGTAAGCAGGCACTCTTTCCCTGTAGGCCTTCAAATCTGTCTATGGCACTTGCTCTATGGAATTTGGTGTGCGCACTGACAAGCATGTGTTGTAGTCGATTCAACTGTACATGCAGGCAGGGGTGATCGAGATTAGGGCCATGCCGGTCACATAGCCCTGGTCAGGAATCATGTGCAGCCACTGTGGCCATCGCATTGCAGGGCAAATAGCAAATGCATTCTCTTCTGCATACGTCCCCCGCCACGTGGTCCTCCGGCTTGGGAGCTTTGTGAATTTGGATGAAAAAAAGGGTTGCATTCGAGCTTTACACGGTGAGGATGCTGATTTCGCAATTCCAATGAGAACGACAAGAATGTGATGACTTCGTAGTGACTTTTTTTGCTGCAATTCCATAGGGGGAGACATTTGTGGGACAGCGTGGGGTGACTTTAGCGGTTCCGGTATGTGTTTTTGATGTATGTCTTGTGGACTTTTGTCCAACGCGTCTTACACTAGAGCTTGAGATCCGAAGGTGCGTAGTTTAAGAACCATGGCAAATTGCGAGGGAACGAGCAAAGCGTTGCGACTTTGGCTTAAGTTTGTATTTCGGACATTGCTTGAACACATGTCCTCCTGGCCTGCGGTGCAATGCATAGCGAGTGGATCTCTTGTCATGTTGTTTGTTGTTCAATTTTCGTCGCTGCCCACCCTCCACGCCGTGTGGAGCAATGCACTGTTTTCTTTGCCTTCGCATCTTGCCAAACCCACAGCCAACGTGAAAGACCTGACATGGGGGTGCCCGCGTCTTAAAATGGAGCGTATCTGCTTTTGATGTCTTGCGCACTTGTGTCCAACGTAAGTAACTACAAAACATTGCGCCAGTATAACAATTTGCCATAAATTTATTGGACTACCACCAATGTAGCTACTACACGCCAGGCAAGCAGCAAAACGCATTTTGGGAACCTTGGAAAACATGTAGTGTAGAAGCGCCCTGAGGGCTTGGGCCTTTGGATAGTAGGCTCCACGTTTGCACGTTCCGATGGTGGCAATGACATTTTCGGCTCACTCCATCCAGTGTAGCGCTTTGTTTGGGTGAAGCTCGCTCATTTGCTGTTCGCGTCTCGTGTCCAAACCTTGGTGTGGGCTCATGATTTCCAGATGTTTGGGCAAATTCCTGTGCAGGTTGGGCGATGAAGGCAGGTTCTTTTTGCTGTTCCCTCTGACACTTTTGGTCGTTTATTGATTAAACTGCTTGGTGTGTCATGTTATTTCATGGTCTGTAGCCGTTTAATCAGCATCCACATCTTCAGTGTGCAGATTCAGGCCGGGTCAACACAGCTGTCGGACATGTGATGCCAGGTTTATTTTCAGAAGTGTGCATACATAGGCAAGTACTCAAAGATATGGCATGCAACATGATGTTGATTGCTGAAAACCTTGCCTTTCTTTGCTCTAGGTTTGGTCGCAACCGTGATGCTTGGTCCTTTTTTCTTCGTTTGGGCGACTTGGTCGATGCTTCCAGCTCTTGGTCGACTTGGCGAACCAAACGTGACCGGTGACAATACGACCGTGACTGGAAACAGTGCAAAACCAGCGGGCAATCTCACCACCAGGACGGCAAAAGCCACACACAATTTCATTAAATTGCATTTTCATTGTTTTACATTTCAACATTGCTTTCTTAAGCAATGCAACCACATGTCAGATGTAGATTTATCTCTGGTTCCACTTCCCAAGAGGTCTTCGTCGAAGCCGGACTTTGATGATGACTTTGATGACTTGGATGACTTGGACTTAAACGAGCTTGAAATGAACAAGACGCGGTCATTCTCCGGTGCGAGAATCTTAGATTGAAAAGAGCATTTTCAGAGAGTGTTTTTTTCGGAAAGAGGGAAATGATTGGGAGCAAGCAGTCACTGGTGCTGTAAGCGTATCAAAGTGTTTGCCTTTTACTTGTGAAGCAGGCAGGGTACTAGTTACAGTCAAGTGTGGAGTTGGTGGTGTGGAATCCTCACAATGGAAGAGGCAAACAGGCAGATTCTGTCTAGTTTAGCTCCTTCAGGATCCGCAGTGCATTTTTTGTTCTTGTAACGCTTATCTTGAGGCTACGCAGGTTACGCAACATACGCTACCACAACCCCGATATGGAGATGCGAAAGCAGCTGCATGCGGAGGCATGCACACGGGTGCATTGATTGGAGGCCAGGCAGTTTGGTTACTGTAGTAGCAACATATAACAAGTTAAGATACCGATACCCTAAAAATCAGTGCGAGCGCGAGCCAGCCAGCGTCCAGTATGTAGTTGCTAACTTAGCCTAGTAGCGGTTTCGCCGTTAGGGAGGTGGGGAGGTCGGCCAACAAAGAGCCGAAGCATCCCACCCATTGCTTTGCACCGAACGGTCTGATGAAAACCTTGGTAACCTTGGAGGCCTTCCGTACTATAGTGTCGCATCTGCACAATCAATGTGGAAAGGCTGCTGCTGGTGTGGTGGTTCAGGTGGTGGAAGAGGAACCATGGGTTTGGGCTGCTTCAGCTGTGCCAAAGGCCGGTTCCTCAGGTCTGGTTATGGTTGCTTGCCATTGATTGGCACTGTTTTACTTTCTCCGAAAGGGTCCATCCCAGATCATGCAAGATTTTGTGCGATCTGACATCGCGTGACGTCATGGACTAGCAGGAAACATGACGGCAATTTTGGAGGCTTTATGAGGCTATTCGATGTTCCATTTCGATTCATGACGTTCAAGAAGATCATTGTTGACCAAGGACTGGACTCTACAGATCAGGCATACAGGTCTGGCTTTGCCTCTGGGGAGATCATTATTGTGGTTGCAGATCTTTGCCCTCATCAAGGTAATGAAAAGTGGTGCCCTCAATGGGCTGGGCAACGCAATCAATATGGTGCCCATAATCACTTGGATTTCTCTCACCCACCACCAGGCATCGACAACAACAATTTTGTCTTTACTCCTATCCGATGCCCTCGTGACCTGCGCCACAGATACCACCAGATGTCAAAGTGTCATCGATGAGACGGTGGAAAGGCTCGCAAGATGCTGACGGCTGCGCATGAAAGGCTTACCGATAGCGATAGCGGTCTATGAGCGTGCTGTTTGTGCATGATCCAGGCGCTTCTGGATCTAATCCCGTTTTGATGGCTCTGAACAAATTTGGAGTCTGCAAGTTTTGTCCGTTGGCATAATTCATTTCTTTTTTGCTGGCCGCATCGAGAATCGAGCCAGCTAGCTGCACTGAATTGTCTGATGCATGTACAAGGAGGCAACACCTTCCTATGCAAGAGGCTACTGGCCTAAATCTTTTTTGGAACTACACGTACTTGCGTCAGAGCTGTGAATGGCTGGAAAATATCTTGTTCGATCTCAAGAAGTGTTCAAGAATTCCGCATTCCTCAATGTCGCCAGCACAATCGGCAGGCAAGGATAGCTGTTCGACAATTTGTGAGGCTGTGTCCTTGGAGTAGAATTGCCCGGTCCAGGATAAGAGTGACTGCTGTGATTCACTCACACGTATATACATTAAGGAGATGCTCTGCTTTTGGGTCCACCCCAACTTGATTATTTCCTCCAAGTTGTGCACCGTGGCTTGGTTCTTTTTGCTCTGGATTTACACATTGCAGTTGGTTACCGGAGTCAATGCCTCCGAGGTGCTTTCAATGATTAAAACGGTTAGGACGTTTCAAAAGTGTACATTTGCACCACTTTAACCGTGTACTCTTTTTGACCGGAGAGAGAATCTGGACGCTTTGCGACCGAGGCGGAGAACCAATCCAGCAATGCTTGCTTCTACACGAAGGAGCTTGATTTCAACCATTGGAATCTGGGGACTGGGGGTCTCTCTTTCATTCAGCAAGTGCTTCACTTCGCGAAAGGTAGCACCAGATAAGCCAATATTGCTAATACATAGTCAAAAAGAGGAATGATTAACCGGGCGTAAACTTCAGACTCTGATTTGTCACCATCCCGAGTTCTATGGTGTCAAGATTTCCCGTATCAGAACTCAGAACTGAATTTAGACCTCCCAGAAGTCAGGATCCCCATCCGATTGGAGCACCCCAGGGACTAAAACCAACCAGAGGAAGCGGAATCATGCGCATTCGCAGGAACAGCTTCATCAAGCAGGTGTGATTCATTCTCTCTCTCTCTCTCTTTCTTTTTCTACCTAAACTAAACTGGTGATTTTATCAGCGTGCCAACGTGCAGCAGATATTTGCATAAAAATGGATTGACCTAGTGCTTGCAGTGATTCCGACTAGAGTCTAACTAGAGTGAGGATCGATCTATTTAGTTGGGACCTGCCTTCAGAAGAATTACCATTACCAGACTTCTGTGGCCATCCAGACTTGCAGGTCATGGACCAAGTGAAGAAGGATATGGAAGCTGACGACAAACTCCGAAAAGACTGGGAGCAGGTATGGGGACTGACTGAGTTTCGGTGTCCTTTCAGCTCTTTTGATGCAGTCTGGCTGGCTTCCTCACTTTCTTCGCTCCTATTTTTATTTGCTACCACCCTGATGGTCAGGTTCAAAAATCATCGGACAGGATGCGAGAAACCAGTGTTGGCCTCCCAGAGAAGTATACAGAGAGTGCCCAGGATCAGACTATCAGTGGCTATCATGATTTGGAGTTGCCTTTCCAGGCAGCAAATTCTGAGAAGCTGGAGCAGTTTGGTGAACGCATGAAGAGCCACTTGGATCTCCTTTACAAAGTCACTCTCCCTTGTTTTCAGCCATTTGACCTGTGAAAAGACCAACTTGATTCGATGCTTGCGCATGCTGAGCATCACAGTGCCCGAGATCCTGAGGCCTTTCTTCCCAGACATCAGAGCTGCTTAGCACCCCGGTCGTTGATTTTTTCACCTGGAGCTGTCACCCAAGTCAACTATGCTCTCGTGTAGCTGTCATCGTTTAGTGACTAGTGCACGTGGCTTTGCTTGTGTCAGTTGGCAAGGCAGCTGGTCGGACAAAGCTCGCAATGTTGCCAGTCCTGTCCTCAAGAGCTTGAGGCATTTGTTGGCGGATTTGCAAACACTTCTTGAGATCTTCGTTTCTTCTCTTCTGGATGGACCTTTTAGTGTAATACCTGGTAGCATGCTCCGTCTTGCTCCTGTGTCAAGCCAGATGAAACTAGCATGAAGCTAGAACCTCTTTGGACCTGTGTTATGTGACGTGCAAGGCTCCACTTCAAGCCGCTTGGACCGAGCGACAGAAGACAACGAGGCCAAGATGCACACTTTTGCATAGGTTTTGCTCGCCACTTTGAGGCTTTCAAGTTTCAACAACTGTTTGACTTCGGATTCATTTCGAGTCATCAATCATTCTGAGTCATTGGAGAAGCGGGCTTGTCACTTCATCAGGCTCTGAAGAAAGCACGGGAGTTTGTCAGGAGTGCTTCTGAGCGTGGCAGCCAAGCTAGAGGACTTGTTTTGGAAGCTGGTAAAGGCTCCATGCTCAAGACGTTTGCTCTTTGAGGTCCACATCCGCGGCTTCTTCTAGCTTCCTGAACAAAACCCGGGAGAAGTTTTCCAATGTAATGGATGCTTCATCAAGAGCTGTGGACTACTTGGGTGATGAGAATAAGAAGGCACGCCGGTTGTCTGGGGTAAGAAACTGGTGATAGTCTGTTTGAGTGCAAGAGTGCAAGGCAGAAAAAACAAAGCAGCCTCGAGCTGAGTTGGACCAGTGCACGATTTTAACTAGTATGTCCTTGGGTCCAAGGTGGAAAAAGTCGCGAGACGCCATGGCGGAAGCTGAGAAATCCAAAGCTGAGCAGTCTGAGGAGCACAGCTTGGAATGGACTTTCAAAGTGGGAGGTTTATGTTACTTTATATATGTGCTTTTGAAGCCTGTCTCTCCTGTTTGCGTGCACCGATTCACATCTCCTTTTAGGCCACTGATACATCGGAGAGTGCATCGATGGACAAGGTGCAGCAACGCTAACCGAAAACATGTAATGTAATTCTTTGAGAACATTTTTGAGGATGACTGGGTACTTGCTCAGCTTGGAGTGACGGTGGTAGAGATGCAGAAATTGTTCTGCCTTCAAGTCCCATTATCAGAATCTCAACCTGGCCTTTGATGATAGTCGGTCTTGAAACCAAAGCTGTGTTGTGCTCTTGCCCTGCTTTAAACCAAGCTCCAGCCCATGCAAAGCCACGCCGGAGGCCAAGGATGCAAAAGCTGCTGAAGCCGAAGAAGTTCAGTCTGCCCTTGTGGTTTCCCAGGCAAGATGAAACGGCTTCTGAAAGACTTCCTGGTTTGGATAGTGAGCGATTTCACACCCCATCAGCTTTGATATATGTGGATCACTTCCTGAGCTTCGATATTTTTCTTGTTCAGTCTTTGTTCCGCGAGGCAGGCAGCAGTTCTTGGGGACCACGGCTTTCAGACATGCACGAGCCCCGGATCCACTCGATATGCTTTTGTGAGAAGGCTGACAATGATCAAAGAAAGAAAGAAAGAACAGCACAACCTTCCTGCGACTGTGCAGCGTGGTGCCACCCAGACGAGGAAGGTATACAGGTCCGTGCTATTGGTGTCACCAAATTGCACTGAATAACACTAGTAATTCACTTGTTTCTAGAGCAATTTTGGCGGAGTTGTGCATCACACAGATGCAAGTTTGCCTCAACACCTTTCATACCTCTAAACACCAGCAGACATTGCAGATGCTAATGATGCCACAAAACTAGTTTTGCATTATTTACACTATTAATACACATGCATACATAAAGTTACTTTCCAGTTCTGAAAAACTCTTACTGCACAGCTGGGTGCCTCCAAGTCAGGTTGAGGAAGATGTACAGGGCTTTTCTAGTTCTTCCTCACCCCAAGGCCATTCCTCAACAGCGTTTTCGAGAACCCGCTCTTTGATCGAGTATTTGGCGAAACAGAGCTGCTTAGCTTCATGGAGTGCTTTTGTGAAATCTGAACGTGTGTTAGTGCGCCCTTTTTGAGGATCGCAGCTTCAATTCGAGAGATGAAGGCACTGACTATCAAGGGAGTAGTAGACGTTGTAGCTGTTCAGCTGCCCGCCTTGAAGTTCTGAAGGGCAGCTACAGATTGTTCAAGTGCTGAAGTGTTTAAGAAGTGGCAAGGAGCTGGACTACACGTTCAGGTTGGAGGAATTTGCAGAGGACTAGCTTTTGCAGCTACAGGCCTCCCAGTGTAACGTTCCATCTGTTTGACTGCAGACATGTCAGGACTTGGAATATATTGTAGCACCGCACATTATCAAGTCTTATCTTGAAGGCGACGAAGAGGCAAGGGGTGAGTTTCATGTAAGTTAGAAGTTCAATGCAAAGTAGGCGACCAACAAAGTAATTGTTAGAAGTTCAGAATTCTTTGACCAAGTTTCTTCCAGGCTTTGCAGAAACATTGTGGGGAAGCCTGCTTCAGCACTGTAAATGCAGGGATCAAGGCGCAGAGTCAAATGACCATCCACTCATGCATATTGATGCACCCATCTGTGCGTTGGATTGCAGTTTGCTTGAGCCAGATGCACGTCTGACGAAAGCAAAACAAGCTTGTGTTGTGCAAGTTGAGACACTGTGAGCAGATCATGGGCATCCTGACGCTCCACATCCGAAGTGCACGGGTTCGGCTTGTCTTTAATCTTTTCCCGTGACCTTCCAGGAGCGAAAGAAACAGCAAACGAGCCTGGACTCCAAAATCCTTGCTGGACCTCGAGAGGCGCTGAACCTACAACGAAGTGTCTTGAAATTCCACAGGTTTCCAAGTCCAGCTGAGGTGGAGCTAAAAGGAGCCAAACTCATGGAGCAGGCAACGCACGGGCGCATGGGGGCTTGGGCTCATGCTGCAAGTGGCTTTGCTCTACGAAACGAGCATGGTCATATTTCGCGAGCATGCACTGTTTCAGGGATTTCTGTTGTACCGCTACTGCTGGAAGCTCGCAGAAAGGGAAGATTTGAGTCAAAGACCTGATCGATCTCCCTGACCCCTATTCTTTAGACACCTGTTTGCAGTGGACAATCAGTTTTGTGCGTGCAGGGGGCTCCGTGCTTCATTTGGACCTTCAACATGCAGCAGGTGGAGTGCAAAATCATGTCCCAAGTCGTTTTTGAGAATTCCTTATTGAGAATTCAAAACAACGGAACACTATCACCCACTTCAGCAGGCCTTGCATTTGCTGCGGTGGGCACCGCTTGATTTCTTGATATTTGTCAGGTAAACTGCTTGAGGGACTCAGATGGTGAGATCATTGAAGGTGTTGGGTTCTGAGCTTTAATTTATTATACAATACATTAGCTGGAGTCTAAAGCTAATGGTGAGTGGTTTCTGTTGGAAGTATGGGCTCGGCTACGCAAAATCCAAAACGCAAAACGCAAAATCCAAAACGTAAAACGCAAAATCTAAAACGCAAAACACAAAATCCAAAACGCAAAACACAAAATCCAAAAC